ATACTATGTAACGGTGTGGTATGCTGGATGCTCTGCAGTGGATAAGAAGATGCTCCAGAGAGTTACAAATAAAGCACAAAAAAATCATCGGTTGCTCTCTTTCTTCTTTGGATGAGATTGCAAAGACCAGACTCCTCTCCAGAGCACTAAAAATCTCCACAGACCGTTCTCATCCTGGATATTCATATTTCGAACTGTTACCATCAGGGAGGCGTTATAGGTGTCCTAAAATGAGGACTATTAGATTGAGCAACAGTTTCTTTTCCAAGGCAGTAATTGTCTTGAATGAAACAGTGCATTTGTCATTCAGTCCTATGTATTATTTTAATTATTTTAATTTTTTAAATATTCTGTAGTGTGATTGTGATGTGGTGTTTGGGGCACTGTGCTGGAGTACTTTTCAAATTTTGTTGTATTCATGGAATGCAATGACAATAAAGGTATTCTATTCTATTCTATATTCAAAGTTGTTAGTTTTTGCACTTAATGTAATGCATGTGTTTCTATTCTATGACAGGCCGAAGGAGAATTCACATGGTGTTTTCTTTCCTTAGGAATCCTTTGTGTAGCTGACCAGTGCCATGGCTTACGAGAGCTGGCCTTGAACTACCACTTGTTAAGCGATGAGCTCCTCCTAGCTCTGTCTTCTGAAAAACATGTCCGGTTGGAACATTTGCGCATTGACGTCATCAGTGAGAACCCAGGACAGACGCACTTCCACACGCTGGAAAAAAGCAGCTGGGACGCTTTAATCAGGCATTCCCCCAAAGTGAATTTGGTGATGTACTTTTTCTTGTACGAGGAAGAATTTGATCCCTTCTTCCGATACGAAACTCCGGTCACCCATCTTTATTTTGGGAGATCGGTCAGCAAAGAAGTCCTCGGACGTGTCGGAATGACGTGTCCGCGACTGGTTGAGCTGGTGGTGTGTGCCAACGGATTGCGGCCCCTGGATGAAGAGTTGATCTGCATTGCTGAGCGTTGTAAGAACCTATCGGCCATCGGCCTTGGAGAATGTGAGGTTTCCTGCAGTGCCTTTGTCGAATTTGTGAAAATGTGTGGCGGCCGCTTGTCTCAGCTGTCTATAATGGAAGAGGTCTTGATTCCCGACCAGAAGTACAGCTTGGAGCAGATTCATTGGGAAGTATCCAAGCATCTTGGGAGAGTTTGGTTTCCAGATATGATGCCTACCTGGTAGAGCTATTGGAGGCAACGCCTTAGCTTGGGCCAGCCTTGTGGCAGCTTCATCGCAATAAGCTTCTTCATGAGCCTAGGATCTCTGAAGCACTGTAGAAAGTCAGTCTACTCCTTAGTGCTGGTTTCTAAAATCGGGGGTTGAAAAAGTGACCAGGGAGGAATCAAACATGTTCACATGACTTTATCGTTTGCTTTTTTTTGTCCCAACAAGACGGATGCTAGCGTATGTAGACATTGACATGCATTTACATATTCAGGGGCTGCAGTTCCAAATCTTCTGATAAATTAACAGTATTTTAGCCTGGCTCTTGGAAATATTCCTGCAACTGACTTTGTCAGGAGCGTATATCACTTTAATGACGTAATCCGGGAAGCTGTAGACATTAATCCAGGTTGTATAACAATGAATTGCTTCAAGTGCAGATTTATAATTCCAGATTCCCAAACCATAACTGTGGGTCGTTTGGTGTTTCTGTAACATTATAAATAATAGAGCCCTGCGACACAGTAGCTGGGGTATGTTTGTGTGTGGAAAATACAAGTATTTGCTGCTTTTTAAACCTCTCCAAAAAATCTAGTGGTACATACATTATTAGCAGTGTTATTTCCTTTTTGTTCTCTCTATAGTTTTTTTTTTAAATGAAAATATATTATTGCTGTACGTTGCCCTACATCATATTATTACTGCCCCACGATAATAATCATAGGGCCTGTATAATAAACATGTTTTAAGGTATTATTAAAGCCGTGCAAGTGAAAATATTAATGGGAGCCATAACCTGTATTTTGGGCTTTTTAAAAATCATGTGCTAATTATTTTGTAGCATTTACTTTAAAATGTGCTATACAAGTTTTCTAAGAATGAAAGCCATTTGAATAGGTCTTTTACAGTAAATCTTATGACTTGAATGGAAACTAAAATACAAGAAGTTGCTAATGATCAGCCATCAGTGACTGTAAATAGCCCATTAGTGGAAAATGTGACCCCAACACACACTCAAAATGGTCTGATTTCAGGCGTTGCCCCTTCTTCCAGTCAATCTAAAGTCAATTTGGAGGTGTTGCAACAACAAAAAGAATGACTTCAGGTGCAAAAACATCCCTATCCCTTAAATTTCAAAAACCTGACAATGTTAGCAGGCCAGCTTTTTAACTCTTTGCCAAAATGAATTTATTTTTAAAAAATTGCAAGTTAATGATGTTCCTTTCCCACCACGCCCTTCATTTGTAGCCTGTATCTAAAAGAAATTTCATAGCAGTCACCTTCATAATGATACAGAGAAAGAGAAGCAACTGGTTTAATGGGTTTAGCAGGTTTTACCCTTCCGCATTAAACCGCTTCATTAAAATGGTTGGATTCAAACAGAGCAGGATGACTTGTTTTTCCAAAAATAATCTGCATCTGATGAATATTTTTGGCAGCCGTTTCTCTACAGGCATTCAAATACGGTAGAATTAATTCTACGGTAGATTTCAAACTTTGGTTACATATTGCAAAAAAAGACCAGCTTTCCCAGTTATTCATTTGGTATTTTAATCCTTTGTTAATTAGGAAACCAACCATTCTTTGTTATTCTGTGAAATGTATAGATATTTAACTGCAAATGTCTCATTTTAATGCGACTTGCTTGAATGGACTAAGTATATAATGTGTAAGCACAATTCTGTCAAGGTATGTGAATGACATCCATTTAGGAGCTAGATTTGATGGTAATTTAATGCAGCCTTCCATGTCTTTCTGATCTGACCATGTACTTAGTTCTGGTTCGTTGTTTTTAAACAAAACAAAATTAAGTTTACTTGTTTCTATAATGTGGCATGATTCTTCTTTTTGCCAGTCTTTGCATGCATATTTTGACAGCTCAAAAGGAGCATGAAAAACTGTTGGGGGAAGGCTTAAACTGTGAACTGCCTCACCCCCAAAAGATTTTCTGGGAAGTGAATACCCTTCACCACTATTTGCATTGATGCAGACTTTATTGGCAACTGCCATTGCTTACCTTTGTAAACAGGAGAAGGCTAAAAGTTTGTTTCCTGTCTAAGTTCCCCTTGTGAGCAAGCATCCCAGAGAGGACAGGGTTTATTTAGCATTATGGAATGGGGTTCAGGAGGAGGGATGTGAATGGACCCGAGAACTGCTTAGAAGTTGGTAGGACGATCTCTGCTTGAAGCTGGTCTCTTCAAGGAGAGTCGGCTGAATAGCTGATCCTACCAGTTTTTTTGTTTGTTTGTTTGGGTGGGGGGGTATATTTTTTTCAGCTGTACAAAAAAAGCAAAATGAGAAATTTCCCAGCAGTCCATAACTCGGGTCAGTTTGTAAACATGATTACGATACTTTTTTTTGTCATTAAGGTATTTTTCCCTCATTGGCTGGTTAGAAATTCTATAGCACTTAAACTGAGGAAAAGGCAATCTATGAATGCAAGAGGATGTCACCGAACCACTAATTTCCTAATCATACAGGAAAGTGTTTCCTGTTTCCAACAGAAGCAGGCTAAGCAAAAGAAAAGACCCTTTAGAAGAGAACCATGATGGTGCAGTGATTAGAATGCAGAATAGTGCAGGTTACCTCTGCCCACAGCCAGGTGTTCGATCCTGACCGGCTCAAGATTGACTATCCTTCCATCTTTTCCGAGGTCGATAAAATGAGGACCCAGATTGTTGGGGGCAATATCCTGACTCTGTAAACCGCAGAGTGAAGGCTATGAAGTGGGATATAAATCTAAGGGCTGTTGCTATTAAAATAGAATCTCGTAACGGGTAAAACTGCTTTAGTTCATTTTGTCCACCTTCCAAGGAAAAACAGGAATTGTTAGCCAAAACAAGAACAGAAAGCCAGTCAGGCATTATAAAGCTGCCCAAAGTGGCAGCATCAGTGACATCATGTTATAGATTTGTGCAGCTCCTTTCTAACCAGACAAGAATCTGATGTGGGGGGTGGAATAACTTCCAATTAATGTTTTAACTCCTGAACACACTTAGCAGTGGCTTTTGTACACGGTGTATCAAAGACAGGAACCCCAAGTATCTGAAAGCCCTTTATTTTTCACAATTAAAGAATGATTTAATCTGTGTCGGCTACCAGTCTGTACAAAGTAGTCCTTGCTAAGGGACAGCCTTGTTTAGTGACCATTTGTAATGATGATGATGATGATGAAAAAGTAACTCTACAACCAGTCCTCACATTTATAACCTTCTTGGGTCTGTAAAACAAAGGGAAGCTGAAGATCCTGAGCAGAGACATTTCACTTAGCAGCTGCTTCACTTAACGTCTAAGTTGTGAAGCCCAGTTGCTAAACGAGGATTCCCCATGTTTCCAGCAACAAATAACAGTTCCTGGTTCTGAGCAGCAGACAGAAGAAGGTTCTCTCAGTTTCCATCTGATGGGAAGGAGAGGCCTTTACCCATAGCATGAAATCTGGAATGATGCTTAGTACAAACAAAGGTATCCTGAAAAATATTTCTAAAGAACACGAAGAACTTTTGTTTTGCAATCATTTTTCCACAAAAAGAGACTTGAGTTCCCCGTCCATCTTGAAAAAGAAATCCCACAGATCCGTTGGCTCTTATCAGGAAAAAAAAAAAAAACTTGGCAAAGGATGGAAATTGAGCCCTTTGTGCCCTTTCCTCCCTCATAAGCCACGCAACTCACGCGGCTCCCTTCTCCGTTCCTCCCTGCGTGCCCTAGGATGAAGAGGGGCTGGGCCTGGGTCTTCCTCTGAATTCCCTCTCCCTTGTTCTACCTCTCCCCTGCTCTGCCCAGCCGGACTTTGCCCTTCCCCAGTTTCCTCCACAGCCAACGGAGCCACACTCCCACTCCCTGTCAGCTATTCGGATTCAGACTCCGACAGAGGCATGACAAGTGCATTTTAACAGGCAAAACAGGATTACGCATCAAATTTGGTAGCATTGGAATTAGGCAGCGGGATTTCTTCATAGGCTATTTTCATGTAAGGATACTTCATGGGCAAGAGCCAATATTCCAGATTATAAAACAAATAAAACCGATGATCCAGAACTACCTCCTCAAGTATCTTCAATAGGTTAACGAAGAACTCCTTCACCGAGTGGTACGGTTTGAAAGGCAGGTAGAAATTCCTAATAGCCAACGCCAAAGATTTGTTTCCCGGCGGTCCAAAGAGTGTCGTCTCATTGCCCAGGCAAACAGGCTCCCCGCTGAAGAGAGTAATGGTGGTATAATTGGTTTGGATCTTCTTGAAAACGGCCCCCAGCTCAGCCAGCTTCTGGTAGGTCCTTTGCACGAATTTGGAGCATTCATAAGCTTCAAACCAGACGCGGGAATTTTTTTCTGGGCTGCTTTTGACCATCCAGGTCTCATAATAAATGCCAGTTTCGTTGTCATATTCCACCCATTTTGCCATTTGATTGAACATCGCTCCTAAAAACAGAAGGGGAAAAAAAAAACCAATGTTGTCTTTTAGAAACTTAACTGCTATTTAATCTAAAATATATAATATTACGTATACTGGAAATCCAAAAGATGATGAGTTGTGAAGAAATGGACAAACTAACCCTAGCTTTAAAGGACAAAGAATTGTTTAGTTTTAGTTTAGTTTATTGTCATTGTACCTCGTACAACAAAACCAAACACCATCTTCAGTGCACATCATGACCATGAAAATAAACACAAACACACATCCTTCACCGTTCACACATTGAACCGGAAACCCCCGACACCACACCAACACTACACTATACAGCAGAATTCAACAGAGCTCCTGCCCTGGGATAGAAGCTGTTTTTCAGCCTATTTGCCTTGTTTTTACTATCCTGTACCGTCTGCAAGATGGTAATAGTTCAAAAAACAAAAAGGCTGCCCAGGATGAGATGGATCTTTGAGAACGTCTTGAACTTTCTTAAGGCAGCGGGAACTATAAAGCTCTTCCAAAGAGGGGAGAGGGCAACCCATGATCTTCTGGGCAATGACATTAACCCTCTGGAGTGCTGTCCTATCTGCCCCTGTGCAATTGACAAACCATACACAGGTACAGTAAATTAAAATACTCTCTATGGTGCAGCGGTAGAAAGTCACCAGCAGTTTCTCATTATCAGAGTACTCTTACGATTTGGGACTATCGGTATGAATGGATTGAGCAAAGACCGATTACATAGTAAACGGTAAAAGAAGATAAGCAGTTGTAGTAAACACACACACACACCTACCTTCCAAGGCAACCACATTCCTAACCTGCTTAGAAGAAGAAAGAAACGGAAAAAAAGCAGCTCGGTAGCCAGGCAAGTTCCACCCCTCCACCCTTTCCCTGCCCCCCTCACTACCTCTTGTTCTGATGCTAGCCTTGTGTTCCCACGAGTGAGCCGGCTATGTGGGCGGCCGCAGCCCTGTGTTCCTGCGCAGCCTGGATTAATTGCTTTGGGGGGTGTTCTGCGGGTGACATTTCTCTGTGGACCACCAAAATTTTCTTGCGGCCCACCAGTTGGTGACCACTGTTGGTCTTTGGGTCTCTGCTGTGCATGCGTGCGGGGATGCCCAGGGAATGGAGCACATGGGTGGGAGTGGGTTGCATGCCTGGGGAAGGTGCGTATGCACAGAGATGTGTGCGCATGCACAGGGAGGGGCAAATGAGCGGAGGATGAGGTATATGCATGAGGGGTGTGGCGCATGCACGGGGGATGGGGCACATGCACTTGGGAGCGACGGGCATGCGCAGGGATAAGGCGCATATATGGTGTGCATGCATCTGCAGGGGCTGGAGTACATGCAGGGGGGCAGGGCACATGCACGGGGATGAGGCGCATGCATGGGGACATGTACATGGGCTGGGCCACATGAACAGGAAGGTGGGGCACATGCATAGATGGGGCACATTCATGGGGTCATGCATGCATGCGCAGGGGATGAAGCACATGTGTGGGAGGCAGGGCACATGCACGGGGATTTGCATGCATGCTCGGGGCCAGGGTGCATGCATGGAGGGGGGTGGGGAGCATGCATAGGGATGTGGGCGTATTGCATTTTCAGGATGTGCATATGTTCTTTGGGCACTCACTGCTGAAAAGGTCAGTGATCACTGATCTAATCTAGCTAGCTAGCTAATGTATCTATCATTCATCTATCCATCTAGCTATCTAGCTACATATCCATCCTTGCCCATCATTGACAGCGGACCTGGGGGGTACCCAGGCAGTCCTTGATTTAGGATGACAATTGAGCCCAACATTCCTGTTGCTAAGCTAGACAAATTAGTTTTGCCTGATTTTACTTTTCTTGCCATAGATCAGGGTGGGATTCTACTGGTTCGCACCTATTCACTAGAATTGGTTGTTAACATTCTAAGCAGTTTGGAGAACCGGTTGTTAGAAGAAATTACTGGCCTAATCCTGTAAGGAAGGCAGGAAGGAAACATTCTGGTGTTGCTTATAGAAACTGCCTCTCTGTTAACCCTTATTATATTCTTGGCAGGACTAGACTTCCTGTCTCAGGAAAGTCTCTGCAATTTTTTCCCCCTCCTTTGCTGGTACTTTGCTTGTTTGGAGTGACCATTCAAAGTTACAATGGCACTGAAAAAAGTGACTTATGACCATTTTTCACACTTACGACTGTTGCAGCATCCCCACAGTCATGAGAGGCCAGGCAAGCAGATGCATGCCTCGATGTGAATGATATTGATTTGGCCACACCCAGCCAATAACATGACCACTAAGCCATGTCCACCCAGTCACATGACCACCAAGCCGCACCCACCACTTAAGCCACACCCACAGAACCGGTTGTTAAAAACATTGAATCCCACCCCTGCCATAGATGTGGAGTTAATCACATCTTATGTTAGTATAATATTATAATATTAGTATTAAGTTATTAACAGGGTCACTAACTGAAACTGGCTTCCCCATTGCCTGTCGGAAGGTCACAAAAAAGGGATCCTGGGGACTGCAACCGTCATAAATGTGAGCCAGTTTGCCAAGCATCTGAATTTTGATCCCGTGACCACGGGGGTGCTGCAGCGGTCGTGAGTGTGAAAAAGGGTCGTCAGTCACATTTTTCAGTGCCGCTGTAACTTTGAACAGCCGCTAAATGAAATTGTGGTAAGTCAAGGACTGCCTGTACTTTGTGAGGTTCTGGACTTTATAAACAAACATGTAAGGCCGTGGTGGCGAACCAATGGCACGCATGCCGGAAGTGGCACGCGGAGCCATTACTGCCGGCACGCAAGCACTTGCCCAGAAAAGGTCGTCTGCTCATGTGCACACATTGCCCGCCCGACAGTTGATTGTCGGGTATCTGGCACGTGTGGGGGCACGGCGGCGCACAGGACACACTCGCACATGTGCAGAAATGGGGGCTGGTCACGCGCATTCGCAGAAGCATGCAGTGCAAGTCGTGCGGGTCACGTATGCAGAAGCGCAAGCCCCATGTGCATGTGCAAGAGGCATGGGAGGGTGCTGTGCGCATTGCCCTCTGGGTGATGGCACATGAGCAGCCAAGCGTACACGCAGTTATTGGCAAGGGAGCCCCAAAAGGTTAGCTGGTACTATTGTAAGGCTTTCTCGATGAAGCCGGGGGAATTACCAAAAATAAAACGTGAATTGCAAAAAGTTGGTCATTTTTTCCCACCCCACCCCGTAAATTTGGATTATTTTGTAGAATAGAATCTGCAGGGTTGTGCAAGCTAAGTTTCTTTTTTCCTTTTTAATACAAACTTTATTAATTTTATCAATTGAAACAAAACAAACAACATAGAAAGAATTAAAAGGCCTTCAACAACGACAGATTGTGGTTTTTTATTTGTAAGATTATTTTGTGCCATATTTACAACTAATATGTTATGAGAATATATAATCTCTGTGTTAGATCAGATCTCTCCCAGCTCAAAAGCAGGAATGTGGCTGCCTTGAAGAGGGTGTGTGTGTGTGTGTGTGTGTGTGTGTGTGTGTGTGTGTGTGTGAGATCTCTGTGTTAGATCGGATCTCTCTTTCCCAAACGGAGCTCAAAAGCAGGAATGTGGCTGCCTTGAAGAGGGTGTGTGTGTGTGAGGTATCTGTGTGTGTGTATGTGTGAGAGAGAGGGGGTGGTGGTGTTTAGAACAGGATAGAAAGAAAGATAGATAGATAGATAGATAGATAGATAGATAGATAGATACAGGTATCTCCCACCAACGTCAGCAAGCCACAGTCAGTCAAAATTCATAATAGTGATCTCCGGGATTTAAAATTATGAGTTTGGTGGTCCCTAAGGTCCAAAACGTTGGCGACCCCTGCTTTAGAACACAAGAAGCAGGTAGCACCCGTCTATCTACAGTGAGTTACACCGGATTACCTGAAATTGTCGTCACCTGGACCAGGGTGCCATTTTCCTTCCAGTGGGCATCATCAATCCCTTCATAGAAACAGGCTGCCCCCTGGTTGCACCAGAAGGGGGCGGAGTCTTCAGGCCGCAGGTGTGGGAAGGTGCAGTTCCCAAGCTGGAAAAGCTCGTACCACTCCATGGTGTAGTTCTTCCCAGTCAAGGAGCTCCTGAAGCCCACGGCATCGTGCATAATTTTCTGAGACAGGAAACAAAACACACAGGCTGCAGAGACGGGGCCGTGGACTACGGTTCCCACGGCCACACAGCCTCCCTCCCCTCACAAGGGAAAAGCAAAATGGGCAAACATCCCATCGGGGCCTTTTCAAAACTGCAAGGTTGGCACCCACCCAATTTAGCACAATTGGTGCTTTGGTTTCTAAGAAAAAGTTCGTCCTTTTCCCGAATCCCAAAGATGTTGGGTGTTGTTGTTTTTTTTGCAAGAGGCAACTGGACTTTCTGGTTTTTCTTTTGAAGGCTTTTCACTTCTCATCCAAGCAGCTTCTTCAGCTCTGACTGGATGGTGGGGAATGGAAGGATTTATACTGAGTCCAAAATTGAACACCCCTCTTCTCAACCGAGGGGAAGGGCTGCTAGCAGTTTGGCAGTTCAAATCCCACCAGGCTCAAGGTTGACTCAGCCTCCCATCCTTCCGAGGTGGATAAAATGAGGACCCAGATTGTTGGGGGCAAGAGGCTGACTCTGTACACCGCTTAGAGAGGGCTGTAAAAGCACTGTGAAGTGGTATACAAGTCTACATGCTATTGCTATTCTCTCTCAAGCAAGACTTGCCCCACTCTGATCCTGAGTTGTTCACTTAATTTATGTGTGTTGAGTTACGCCGTTGCCTTTCTTGATCTTATCTATTTCCCTCCGTTTGTTTTCTATCTGCTTATGATCAGAGTTGGTGGATGAGTTAAACTGCAAGCGGCATATCTACTATGAAAGGACAAACAACCTGACTCTGTGTAAACCGCTTAGTGAGGCCCTAAGGTAGTCAGGGACAGGCTTCAAAAATTGTAGTAACGGGTTCTCTGCCCAGTTGCTAGCTGGGCATGGCCATGGTAGGTGTGGCCGAGGCGGCCTCCTGCACCACAGTGGGGGATGGGGGGGCGTGTTTTTGCTGGTTGGGGAATTCTGGGAGTTAAAGTCCAGAAGTCTCAAAGTTGCCAAGTTTGGAGAGCCCTGCCTACAAACAGACGGCTTAGCCCAAGTGATCCAACCTTCCTGATGGCTTTCTACAACAGAGGTCCCCAATCCATGAACTGGGGACCCAGCACCAGGCCACAGCACGTCAGGAAACAAGCAAAAAACCCATCCATGGGATGTAGGCAGCACACGAAACCACGGCCCCCCTTCGGTCTGCAGAAAACTTCTCTCCGCTGAGTCCCTGTTGCCCAAAAGTCTGGGGTGAAGGACGGGGGGGGCTGCTGTTCTAGAAAACGATGTGAAAAAAGCCATTCCATGACAGCGGCACTAACTTGCCTTCTGCTGGATCCAACCCCAAGAGCCATCCTAGAATGGGATATAAATAGGATAGGATAGGATAGGATAGGATAGGATAAGACAGGACAGGACAGGACAGGACAGGACAGGACAGGATAGGATAGGATAGGACAGGACAGGACAGGACAGGACAGGACAGGACTGGACTGGACTGGAATGGAATGGAATGGACTGGAATGGAATGGAATAGACAAGACTAGACTAGACTAGACTAGACTAGACTAAAAATAGAATAGAATAGAATAGAATAGAATAGAATAGAATAGAATAGAA